ATGTCAGACATTCATTGTCTATGCAAAAGCTGCAAAATGAAAAGACATTCAATTTAATTTAAATATTCACTAAAAATCAAATTTTACATTGATCAACATTAATTTAAAATAATAATTCAAAGACCTGAAACAAGTTTTTCCCAATAAATTATTCAATTAATGTAAGAAATTATACAATATCTTAGCTTGATTGGAATTAACTGAGCCACTCTCAAGTCAGCTTCCTGAAATCTACCAGTACTAGTGTTGTATGAAGAAACGTCGTAGCCCCAGTAGGGCTTGAACCTAGTATTAATCCTGGACTGAGAGGCAAACATATTGCTTCCTGAAACTTTCCATCACTGGTGCCGTATGAAGAAAGACTGTAGCTCAAGTAAAGCTTGAACCTAGTATTTTTCGTGGGCTGAGAGGCAGACTTCTTAACCACTAGGCCATACCTTGCTTCCTGAAATTTACCAGTACTGGTGTCTTATGAAGAATAACTGGAGCCCGAGTAGAGCTCAGACCATTGATCACAGAGCTAAAAGGCAAACACCTTAACCACTAGGCCGTACCTTACCAGTACTGGTGTCATATGACGAAACACTGTTGCTCCAGTAGGGCTTGAACCTATGATCCCTGGGCTTAGAGGCAAACACCTTTTCCACTAGGTCATACATTGATTCCTGAAACTTACCAGTACTGATGTCATATGACGAAACACTGTAGCTCCAGTAGGGCTTGAACGTTTGACTCCTTGGTTGAAAGGAAAACACCTTAACCACTAGGCCATATCTTGCAATAGATGCATACCACGGATCAAATAAGTTACTGTCTGCACTATTCAATGGTCAGCGAGTACATTGTGTACGTATTTAGAAATTTTCCCTAAAAATTATGCATTGTTTTATCAAGATTGAATGATATTTAGATTTAAAGCCTCGTAAGGGTTAACAAACGTTTGTTTTATCATGGGAGATTTAACAGTTTGAACTGATATCCTTCATTTCGTGCTCTCTCTCTCTAGTAATCGTCTAGATTCAAGTATAAAAGTTGAATAGTTGATACTTGGATGCTTTAGCACAAGCTCTTCTATTGTTTCCAATGTGACTCTGTCACAACGAATGAGACCGAAGTAATCCAAATATTTGCAGGAAAAGGAAACCACTCTTACACCACTGTCTGTTACTTCCTGGCACCAGCCAACATCAAGAGCTTCTAGATTTGGACAATACTTCGCAATATCTTCAAAACCTAAAACATACTTTTTGGTTTGAAAAAATCACACAAAAACTGTTACAGACAATTTCCCAGCTATAAAAGATCCTGTATGTTGTGACCAAAGTGGTAAACCACACTAAGGGAAATTCTATATATATGTACATAATTATACAAATAAAACAATTTTCAAACATCGAAAAATATGTAAAAATGTACTACAAATATTTGTGCATATTATATGTAATCATTAAAATATATGCATTCATTTCTTATTGTAAAATTTGACTTAAACTTTATAGAAAAAAGATTGCTTATTACCTCCCTTTATTTACATGAAATGTTAAATTCCGTAATGCTTTTCGGAACCTACAATATTGATAAATCTTAATTTGAGCATTATATTTATGATTTAAACCATAAAAATATGTGTTACAGGATCTTGGGTGGAGGAATACGCAAGTCGTTCCCACAGTGTCAGAGTCAAACATGCAAACTGAATTGCGTCCAATATGAGTAAAGCACATACCTAACCGGCTTCAAATCCAGAATTGTGGGCTTTAACTCGCACCAATACTTTATAGGTCATACGGCGACTTTCCAACTTTACTGGTGAAGGAAGATTTCTGGTGCCCCTCTGTGTAATTTCAAGGAAAAAAACAGCCACCACAGTCGAACAAGTTAGCTAGATAGCTTTCTCACATGAGAGAATCCGAAGACGTTTGTGCGGCTTGAACCTCCAGAGGTGAGAGGCAAGTGGTTAGAAGCCTTAACCGAAACCACTCAGCCACGGACTCTTTGTTCTAAATAAATCTAACTGAGACTCTATAAAAAACATTGTCACAAAGTTTAACTGGATAACTCTATACATAGGTCGTCATAGAGCTTGATCCCATGCAGTGACCTGTAAAGACACACGAGTGTAGAGCTCAATGTATAGTACCTATTTATTGATTCACATCACTCTTCAAGAGAGGGTCGCATAATTCTATAGCACCTTGTTATTGCTGTCTTCGGCGGAGTGAATGCCTCTCAAGGGAGATCGTTAGATAGTTATAGCAGCCATATGAATATGGGTTAATTCTTTAAAGTTTGGCAAACATGCCTTCTTAGACAATATCATGCAATAGCTTTACGTTATATCTAAAACCTAAGTAAAACTAACGCCCTTATTTCCCGGTTGCGGCCAGTTCCAACCCGCGTGAAAATTTATTGTTATATCAAATATGTTGCGGCAATTACAAGCGTGCAGGATTTTCTGCCAAATCGTACAAAATGGCGCGGTAAACATATAAACCTCGATATTTTAAAACAGTTGTTTGAAACAGCAAAGAATATTTTGACTCTAGTGGCCGGTAGCGTTTGACTTTACATTTTATCCCTCGTTTGTCCATAAAAAGACGAGAGAGAAAGGAATACGCGACAGCTTTTGGAATCGAGGCAAAAGTTATAGGCCGCGATTTCTGTTCCTCAGAAACGGTCTTTTAAATATCACGGCACGTAAAAGCAATTTTCAGCCGCGACTTTTAGCGCAGAGACATTTCCTGGCTTAAAATGCTGAGGCTAAATGCTCAAACTCGACATTGTAAAAGGTTGGCATCAAAACAAAATATCGCAGATCATAATGGCCTCAATCGGTTAGCTAAAGTAGGCATATGTTTGCGTGACTTAGTCTACCATGTGAACAGAAACTGTCGCGGTTTCTCTCGTAAAACTCGACTGTATATGACAGAAGTGTGACATAAAAACTCGACAGTTTCTATAAGACGCGACATTTTATACAATTTAAACATAAAATCTCGCTGATTTAAAAGTTGCTCGCGACATGTTATAAACTGACGGTTAAAATTATTGCAGCTTTTAAATGGCCACTATCGGCCAACATACTTAACACAGTTTTCTTTTAACTTGCAGTAATACAGCTAGCTAGTATAAAAGACAATAGACATATGAATTTTCAATAATTTTCGATAAACAAAAATCGTGCCATTATATTCATAAACCCTTCCAAATGAAAAACGAGATTCATAATATACCACACAGTATGGAGGCGCATAAGTGACACAATTAAATGAATGCCCTTCGCACAATAAGTCAATCTTATCCTACGGTACAGCTCTTGGTTTAATTGCATTTCTCATTGTAGAACCTTTTAGATGATTTTTCATCAAGTATGTTAGACGTAACAGGACGAACAGACGGACCCCAAGGATGTAGAAGGAATGCATATCTTTGTATTTCCGATACGTATAAATTTGTTCTGGGACATAATATGCGTTTCTGTATTTATTACACTTGCTCACATGTAAGATAATTTATGTATTTAAAGAATTATTACTACCATGATATACTTGTTAACTGACTGAGTAGTTTGAAATGCCAAAATAAACTCAATTTCAATAGACTCCCAACTTTCTTCATTATTAATCAGTCACGTCGAAATTATACCTTATTTTAAACACGGCTGTGCACCTTTAACCTTGGATGATCCTAGGGTTGATATTGGCTGCAATAGTTCAGAGACATGTTATACTTGTAAAGTTGTATACCAACTAATCGCAACTATTCGTCTTCGGAAAGGGATTATTGATAATAGCCGAGATTTTCCGATTGACGTGTATACAATATCAGTAGCACCGATTGTTAGAGGTACCGCCTCTCAACACTGTGTCCATTTTTATAATAAAATTTTATTTCAATTATTTTTAAAAAAGTTATATCTATAATTTAAATGTAATAATTTAAACTTTTTTTGTTACTTCAGAAAATGAAAATGATCCATATGAACAATGCTTTTAGCATAGAGATACATTTCTGCTATTTAATTATTTTCAAATCCCAGAGGTATCAGAAATATATTTTTAATGAACCCCGGTACGTTATCTTAGAGTTTGGAAAAACAATGTTTCACTGGCCAGAAACGCAAAATATAACAAAAATCAGAATCGCAAAATATATCAAACGTCAGAATCGCAAAATATAATATAGGTCAGAAACACACAATATAAAATAGGTCAGAAACGCAAAATATTATGATAATTTTGCACTAGACTAACCGCCTAAATTAAAGGCTCATAAATAATGTGAATTTTATGACAAAATTTGCGATGCGACTCACAAGGTGTAAAAAGTACAAAACGTGCCTATTAAGGTGTACAGTCTGAAAAGTTCACTTAGATGTAATTCGTCTTTTATTCAAACGCTAGCTATATATAAGAGATATCTGCATCTTTTACATTAATTAGTTAACTAATTTATTCTAGTTCATTTGCGTTTGAAGCTATAGGCTTATTAAAACGCTCTAGAATCCGTTCCTGTAACCGACCGGTACCAAGCAATGGGTGTAAAGTTTCTTGCTGGCTTGTCCCTGACGGGGTTTGAAACCACGCGACCAGCATTCCTTAGATTACTATAGTACTTGTCATAACGTGTTAACCACTTTGCCACGCTGCCACTGTATAATTATAATCATTAAGCCCATTAAAATATTTCAAAAATATTTCTATAGAATAAAATAGTAAAACATAAACATTAAAGGCCCGTTTCTTAATTTTTAAATGACTGCCAATTAAGAACGCCATTGCAAAAAAATTGAATAAAGAAATAAACCATTCCAACTGAATGAATAATTGACTGTAATTACCAAAATTTGAACAACAACTTATGTAATGAACCAGATTTTTTCTCTCTTTTTTCAAGTGCCTCAAGTACCAAAATAACAAGTTCAGCATAATTAACGCAACCGGATAGTTATATAAATATGACTGGTATCTTGATATAGCTAACAAATCAGAAAGGAACTGGCAGTTTGATGTTAAAATAAAAAAAAATAATTAATCAGGCAGTATGATTATTTATATACCTTAAACATTAAATAAGTAAATAAGCACCTGCCTGTCAAACATGAAAGACGCATTTATCACTTTGCTGATTGTCGGAATAATTCATGCTTCTGCTAATGACTTGAGACTTGTAAAGGAAAGAATACGATTCTTAGAGAACAGAGTTAATTCAGAATCAAAATTCAGACATGAGGATTACTCAGAAATAATCTACAGGTTGGACGAGATAGATAAAGTATTGAATACATCGCTTGATAGCAGAGCCCGAGTAAGCCGCTACGATGAACTGCCCAAAGAAACAGGCGAAACAAGCTCTAAAGCTTTTGAACATCTAAAAGAAGACTTTATACGAATCAGGAAAGCATTTGGCGAGGTGAAGGCAAAAATGGCAAGAAGTCGTAGAGAAATTCCTATCTTAGGAAATAATCTTAAAGCAGTTCAAGAGGAAATAGACAACTATTGTAAAATAGGTTTAAACAAGACAGACAAGGTTATTTCGAGATTAGAAACAAACACATTGATGATATCAAAAGTCAGTGCAAAACAGATTGCCGTGTACGATAAGTTAGAAAACGTCAATCAACTGAAAGAAATTACTTTAAAACTTGAGCAAGTTAAACAGAAAACTGATGACATGGAGAACAAAACAGCCATAAGCAATGGAAGAGTTGATACTATAGCAGCAAATGTGGAAATAAATAAAGTAAATCTAGAACGTGTATACTCGCTGGTAACAGAATTATCAACTAACGTTAAGCCCCTATTGAGACAAGTATCAAGTATAGAAGAAACAAGCGAGTTGATAGTATCTGAAGTCAGTAAGAAACATATAAAATTGCTCAATGAAATAAATGAAAATTCTTCACACGACAATACACAATTGAAAGACATCGTTAAAAGACTTGGGCAGGTAAAAAAGCAAGTTGATGACAATGAAAACAGTAAAAGAGTAGATGCTATAGCAGCAATTGTGGAAGAGAATAAAGTAAATATAGAACGTGTATACTCGCTGGTATTATCGATCTTATTTAAACAAAGGTCTTGTAATGAAATACTCAATAACGGATTCACACTAAATGGTGCATATAACCTACGACAAGGGCATATGGTGTACTGCGACCAAACCACAGATGGTGGGGGTTGGATAGTATTTCAGAGAAGACTAGATGGTGAGGAAGACTTCTACCGTAACTGGGCTGACTACAAAAATTGCTTTGGCGATCTAAACGGCGAGTTCTGGCTCGGTAATGAACATTTGAGTTTACTGACAGCAAGTGGAGAACATGAACTTAGAATAGAGTTGGAAGATTTTGATGGAAACAGTGTATATGCCAAGTATAGCAAGTTTAAGATATATCCAGAAGATGACAACTACAAACTGGAGGTAAGTGGATATAGTGGAACTGCCGGGGATTCCCTAGCTGAACATAATGGGAGGATGTTCTCAACTTTTGACAGAGACAATGATCATGCTTCAACATCAAATTGTGCTGTTCTGTATCATGGTGCGTGGTGGTATGCGAGTTGTTACCTTTCAAATCTCAATGGCCAATATTTCGAAAAAAGTAATAAAGGAATCATGTGGCTCAGATGGAAATACTCGAGTTTAAAGATAGTAGAAATGAAATTCCGTTAGCACTTGTAGAAAAATCAACATTACTGAACTCATCTATGTTTTACTAGGTTGCTGCCAGAATATTTCCTTTGATTCTCTTGATCATCATAATAATAGTATGATGTTTTCAACGATTAACAATAATAACGATAAATACTCAATAAATTGTGCTGTCAGTCATGGTAGTATCCAAGAGTTATTATCAATCATATACAAGTAAATCTCAACAAACGGTATAGCAAACGTAAAATATTCATTCATACCGTGATGAATTTGACTATATGCAAAGGAGCGGCGAGTTTCAATATCTAAATATTGTTGGAATATTACAAAACGTATAATTCGAAAATACCTGTTTGAAAGAAATATGTTGGTTGAATATCTTGTGAATTGAGTGCGCGGAATTATTGCTGAACGGTTTAATACCTACATAACATAGCGGCATTATATTTCCTTCTAGAGCAGATGTTTGTGACCCCCCCCCCTTCCCGTGTTTTACACATCGTAAAATCAATGGATTTAGAGAAAGTTCGATGCTTATAAAATAATGAAATTGCCCTCATTTGCAATAAAAGAAAAAAAAGTAGCAAAATTAATGTACGAAGTATTTTGTCTTCCATTTCTAATACTAAATTACTGTAACTTCAACGTATATTTATTGCCAATAACAAAGGAAGCAAAAGATGGCTCAGGTAATTGGCAGACGAGTAACTGTTTGGAAATTATATCAGGACAACAAAACTAGATAGATTTTGAGAAATAAAAAGTTTTTGGGACAAACCATTTTGACGGACACAGTACAAAACGTTTTAATTATATATGTACATGTTGAAAATCAAGTAGAAACAAGCGGGGGACATGTACATGTATATCTTGGAATGGCTCCAGTCCCTGCTGACAGAAGTGTGAAGGCGTATTTACATCTGCACACCAAAATCGATGTTTTTATTGTGTTTTAACCTCTTATATTTCTAACGTATGTTTGTCTAGTTAAAAAGAAAATTCATTTTACATTTATTTTGCAAAGAAAATTCCTCGTACATTTGTCAAGTCAGGGTTTCATGTATGTTTAAACCAAACTGTTATGTGTATATTCTGAATTCTGTTTAAAGTTTCATTATTTATATAAAGTATTGTAAAATTTACAAAATTTCCCAGCTGTATTGTAATCTTAAATTAAATCGCTTTGATGTATCACCTTTCTATTATTTGATTTGTTTCATTTTTTAAACAGTTTCATATGAACGACCTTAAAGCTGCATGCCTCCGGACGAGCCGAAATTTTTCAAGAAAATTAAATTTGAGAAAAATGTGCTAAAATTTTCAGAAAAGTAAAATGTTTCAAGATTCAAGTAATGATTTACAGGTTATAGGCAATTAAAGGCTGATTTTAGGGTATTTATCATCCTATTTATACTGCGTTACTAACACAGTAAGGGCTAATTTTGCTTATTTTCACCTCTATTTGGTAATTTATATGGATTGCAAGGGCAATTTTGCAATGGGTAAATTATTTTCTTTGTTCACTTCACAATATTTTACTTTTTAATACATTTTTAAAATTTTCATGAAAATTAGCACGAATCTGGAGGCATGCTGCTTTAAACACAGAAAAAAATAAAATAAAATGGTTAAATGTTATGCTCTTGTGTCGAGCTAGTGATAACAAAAGACCTGGTCTCAGTAAACAGATTTTATTTAAAATATTTTAACAAATACATGTATATTACCATATGAAACATAAATATTATTGGTTGGACAAGTTGCTGACGGAAGAATATAGCCTGAATGAGATAAACATTACCCGAGACGCTAGTCGAGGATTATATCTATGTCAGCTAGGCTATATTCTACAGTTTGCGCAAACCAAAGATTATATTTATATCAGCACGGTTATATATTCCTGTACATGTATACTAAAAAAATAAGTAACATTAACTGATTTTTCTCATTTTAAATACTCCTGTTTATATAGCCCGCAACTTGTATAAAAAAAATTATAACGCAAATTGTTATTGACAGCAAGTTCATAATAAAACCACAGCATCTTTAGACTGTTTCCAACAAAGCACTGGAAAAAGACACATGTAAATAAGATAATGCCAGACATTCAATGACAATGGGAACACTGCAAAATTAAAAGTAATTAAGACCTGAACAATTTGACGTTTTTTTTCCATAAATTATTCAATGTTGTATCTTAGCATGATTGTAAGGGGGGGGGGGGGGGGGGCTTTGAACTTATTGAACCACTTTTAAGTCAGCTTCCTAAAACTTACCAGTACTGATGTCATACGAAGAAACACTGTAGCTCCAGTAGGGCTTGAACCTATGATTTCTGGGTTTGAGAGGCAAACATCTTAACCACTTGCCTGAAACTTACCAGTACTGGTTTTGTATGAGGAAACACTGTAGCACCATTATGCCATACCTTGCAATAAGTGCAGACCACGGATCAAACAATCTATGGTCTGCACTATTCACTGTTCCACGAAACATTGTGAACCTATTTTGAAATTTTCCTAAAAATCATGCAATGTTTTATCCAGATTGAATGATGAACAAGTATATTAGATATTATATAGTGAACAAAGTTTTGTTTTCTTATGGGAGATTTAACAGTTTGAACTGATATCCTTCATTTCGTGCTCTCTCTAGTAAACGTCTAGATTCAAGTATAAAAGTTGAATAGTTGATACTTGGATGTTTAAGCACAAGTTCTTCTATTGTTTCTAAGGTAACTCTATCACAACGAATAAGACCGAAGTAATCCAAATATTTGCAGGAAAGGGAAATCACTCTTACACCACTGTCTGTTACTTCCTGGCACCAGCCAACATCGAGAGCTTCTAGATTAGGACAATACTTTGCAATATCTTCAAGACCTATAAAAGAATACAGAAACATTTTTTTTTGGTACACAAAAACTTTTACAGACACTTTTCCGGTGAAATACCCAAGATGTGCATAAACAGGTGTCTGAATCAAACAAACAACTTTAAACATGCAAGCTAAATTTCATCCAAACATGAATGAAGCACATCCCTGACCAATTTCAAATTCACAGTCAGTTTTTATTTTATTGAATTTTAAGTTGCACCAACACAGTATTCGTCATATGGCGATTTTCCAGCTTTACTCATAGAAGAAGACCTCGGTGCCCCTCTCTGCATTATTTCAAGAAGAAACAGCCGCCAGAGTACAACCACCAATGTTCCATAAGTTAGCTCAATATCTTTCTCATATGAAAAAATCTGAAGACACTTGCCTGCTCGAACTTCCAGTGGTGAGAGGCATATGGTTTGAATTCAATGACCTTAACCACTTAGCCATGGATGCCCCTGTTTTAAGTTGATAAATTTAAGTACATGAGGTCACTGAGGCTCTATAAAAATATTGGCACAATGTATATATCTGGATAACTGTATACATAGGAACACCATAGAGATTGATCCCAGTGACCTGTTAAGCTCATAAGTGTAGAGCTCAATGCAATGCAGAGTACCTATACATTTTGATTCACATCACTCAAGTGTAAATGAGTACATGAGAGGGCCGCATGTATGGCCCTTCTTTGTGGGCCGCCACAAACTGACTGAATGATTCTGACAGGAGATTACTAGATGGATATAGCTGCCATTTGAATATGGGTTAATTCTGTAAAGTTGGCAAACATGCTTTGTGTACATATCTAAAACCATAATTATTATGCAATAACTTTACATTATATCTTTAAAAATCAAAATTCTCATCAAAACTTACCTTTATCAGTTATACTACAGGACACGCAATATAATCTTTTCAATACTGGCAGATTCTTGGCAAGCTGTGATATACACTGGTCATCCATCAACGTGTTTAGAGATACATTTACACACTGTAGATTTTTACAGAACTTGGACAAATATACCACAGAGTCCGACGTCAACCGAGGAATGTTCGACAGGTCAAGATTTGACAGTTTCCTTAACTACAATAACAACAATAGCAACAGATATAGAAATAAAAGAAAACTTTTTTTATAATTGCAAATATATGCAATGTCATTTCAAATAAATTTGAGGAAGCTTTCTAATTTAGAAAGTGGGAGGAACAGAAAACTCAACAAATACCATTTTTCAACACAGGCTGGATAAGTAATTAAAACAGGTCTATTAATTTTAAAAACTATTTGTGCTTAAAGACCCAGTACATGTAATTAAAATACAGTACTATTCTGATGTATGGAAACATTTTATTGTTTATGCAAAAACAACACAATATGCATCAATGAGTAACTTCCCCTGAGTAAGCTACCTTGAAATACACTGACTAGTAAGACGTGCAGAGTTTCTTCCCTTTAAACAACTTAAATCAACATTAAAGTGACTGTCAAGAAAAAGGAAACAGCTTCTGAAATATCAATTCAACCCTTTAACCTCCTGGAATCAAAAGAGATTAGGCAATATACAATTTATTTAACTATCATTAGCTTAGTACTGGTTGATTCCAGGAACAGATTTGAGAGTGTGTCTGTTTCAGGATCTATAAGCTATAAGCTTCCTACACATTTTATTGTTTATGAAATCAACTGAGTAACTTCCCCTGAATAAGGTCCCTTGAAATACACAGACTAGTAAGACTTGCAGTGTTGCTTCCCTTTAAACAACATTAAAATGACTGTCAACAAAAAGGAAACAGCTTCTGAAATATCAATTCAACCCTATAACCTCCTGGAATCAAAAGTAATTAGGCAATATACAGTTTATTTTACTATCAGTAGCTTAGTACTGGTTGGTTCCGGGAACAGATTTGAGAGTGTGTCTGTTCCAGGAACAGATTTTTGTGTCTACTGTATAAGCTATAAGCTTCCTACACAAATGAACTAAACTAAATTCTGTATAAGGCAAATATCAATGATTCACACTTAACATCAAGTGACTTTTGTCTTGTTATCACTTACTTTAGAGAGGTATTTTACTCCAGTATCAGTTATTCCGCAAGACATCAGATTGAGGTATAAAATTTCTGGACAACCAAGAACTATCTCTGACATGGCTGTATCAGTAACCTATAACAAATGCAAAAAATTTGATTTTCATAAATCTTTTTTAATAATGACAAATTAAAAGACTTTCAGAAATGTTATGCCATAATCATAACGATCATTAGGCCCACTTTTCTGCTTAAAAGATTAGGGAATACCCCTAGCTGGCTCCACTACTCCACCACAAATTAACCTGCTGCATAAGTTTCTCATGAGGCGATGCATCTAACATTTTGGAGTATGCTGTCTTGACAGACTACTTTCTTCTAAATTTAGCAAATACATAAAATTTAAGAAGTCTTTAAAATCTTAATGTTAAACAAGAGGGCCATGATGGCCCTGAAGTCGCTCACCTGTATATAGGCCCCCCGGAGCGGGGCCAGTTTAAACCCCCAGGGCTTTTATTTGAACAAACTTGGTAGACACCCATTAGAAGATGTTTCATGCTAAACATCTAAGGTCTAGCTCGTTGGGTTTTTTAAAAGTAGATTTTTAAAGTTTTTTCTTTACACATATATTTAAAAACAATGACACCCCTGGGGCAGGGCCAGTTTTGACCCCAGGGCTTTTATTTGAACAATCTTTGTAGACACTTACTAGAAGATGTTTCATGCTTTATATTTAAACTCTAGCTATTCGGGTTTTTTCGAAGAAGATTTTTAAGTTTTTGCTATACACATATAAGGAAAATCAATGTCCCCCCGGGCGGGGCCAATATTGACCCCAGGGCTCTTATTTGAACAAACATGGTAGACATCCATTAGAACATGTTTCATGCTAATTATCTTAGCTCTAGCTCTTAGGGTTCTTTAAAAGAAGATTTTTAAGTTTTTACAATATTCATATAGGGAAAATCAATGACCCCCTGGGGCGGGGCCAATTTTGACCCCAGGGCTCTTATTTGAACAAACTTGGTAGACATCCATTAGAACATGTTTCATGCTAAATATCTTAGCTCTAGTTTTTTGGGTTCTTTAAAAGAAGATTTTTTTAAGGTTTTTACCATATACATATAGGGAAAATCAATGACCCCCTTGGGCGGGGCCAATTTTGACCCCAGGGCTTTTATTTGAACAAATTTGGTAGACACTCACTAGAAAATGTTTCGTGCCAAATATCTAACCTCTAGCTCTTTGGGATATTTAGAAGAAGATATTTAAAGTTTTTTTCTTTTGGTTGCCATGGCAACCATAGAGTACTGCATGGAATTAATTTCTTTGAATAATTTTTAAAGGTGACCACCAAAGGAACATTCCTGTGAAGTTTTGATGAAATTCGCTTAGTGGTTTATGAGGAGATGTCATTTAAAGAAAAAGTTTACGGACGGATGTCGGACGGACGACGGACGAAAAGCGTCAGGGTGAGAGGGTGAGCTAAAAAGAGAGAAACGTATACAATATAGAGAACATTCAAGTTTTTACAATAAATACAGGATTTATTGTGGTACGAAATTATCAAATTTCACTCAGGACTGGCCTAGCCACTCATGAAATATTAATTTTCATACCTCTTGATGAGAATAAATCATGTATTTATAGAAAAAGATTGAATATCCTCTATATATTTATCGGTTCACATATCAAAATAAGAACAGTTTACAGTAAAAAAAAAAAAGTTTTTTTTTTTTTTCATTGACAAGTTTATACAGTAACACAAACATTTAGCATGTCTCTATATTGTGTTGCCTATGACTTCACTACAAAATATGTGCACAGCCATGCCATATTGATTTTACAGAGTCACAATCACGGCCAAAGTATGTGATTAAATCAGTTACTATTCAGTTGATGTATGTAAATATTTTATTTGACATCTTTATAAAACTGCACATTTGTTAAGGTCGCTTTTTTTAGATAATCATGAATTAATTTAATATAAATACACAGCTGCTGTCGATTTATGAAGTAATTTCATTTTTCTCTCTAAAAAGGTAGTTTACAGTATTATAAATTCATATAATGGCTCAGGGTTATATAATTAGACAAACAACCATTTGTATATGGTCATATAACCTGTCAAAAATCTTATAACTAATATTATACCTGGCTACAGTGATCAAGTTGAAGGGTAGTTAATCTTGGGCAGTTCTTTGCTATTCCAATCACGCTCGTGTCGGAGATCCTCGTGCATTGATTTAAATTCAAAATTCTCAGTCGATGGCAAGCTTTTGATACCTAAAAGAGATAAATGAATCTTTTTTTAAAAATGTGAATCATAAAACCTACATTTAATTTATTACTTCAAAGGATATTACAGAAAAGAAGAATTTTAATCAAACAGTGTTTATTACAATAAACATGAATATAAGGTGGACTTTAAGTTTAACTCTCACATCTTATTTATTCCTCAATATCAAAAATAACATGTATTTAAACTACTACAGTAGCCAGAAGTTTGTGTGATGTATGACAAGATCAAACCACTTCTAGGTAGGAACCAAAACTGAATACAGCAGATACATGTTATACATGCACACAGACAATACATTATTAGGTGCTGGGTGAGGTGTGACATATGATGCACATTTGATCCATACATTAGTGCAGTAAAGGTTCAACTTTTTCTACAATTTATTGAAGTTAACCTGTTTCTCACTAAGGTGATATCATGAACATCCTCAGTCAAACAAGAAGTTACTTTAACCAAAGTGTATTAGGCCTACCAAAACTGATGACTAGGTGAGTTAGAGTAGGATAGCCTGACAATTCTTTGAATACTCAAATAGAATAAAATACCTTATTTTCCTGGCAAAAGGCATATTTTACATGAACTATAAATATCTCACATGGCCGAATGAATGTTTTGTAAATGCCAATCCAAATTTACCTATAACCTTCAATTTCTAAAGAGTGGGGCAGTCTTTTCATATTGTAGACAGAATTATATTTCATACCAACCTATTACCGATATCAACTGTTGGTAAATCATCATTATTACAGTCAATCTTTTGATATACATGTATACAGTCAAATCATCTCAACTTGACTATGTTAAAATGAGCATAATGTCACTTTTAGTTAACCATTTATAATTAAATCAGCATGCCTCCAGATTCATGCTAATTTTCATGGAAATTTGGAAATGTAAAATACTGTGGAGTGAACAAAGAAAGTAATTTACACATTGCAAACGGCACTGGCAATCCACATTAATAATTACCAAAAAGAGGTCAAAATATATATAAATACCTCTTAATGCGTTAGTAACCCAGTAGAATTGTAGTGATTGATACTGCAAAATTAGTCATTAATCACACTTAACTGTTTAACATGCAAATAATCAATTAAATATTGAATCTTTTTACTTTTCTTAAGATCTTAATACATTTTTCTAAAGATTGAATTTCTTGAAATATTTTGGCTAATCTGGAGGTGTGCAGCTTTAAGGTATAGAAGATAAACATTGTTAGTCCTCATACATACTTCAAGAACAGTTTTATCTGTTATTCTACAACAAGCATCCATATACAGTTCCTGTAGATTATTGCACACTCCTACACTAGACAGGCCTTCAAAAGCTGCATCTGTCAAATCAAAACACCTGTCAAATAAAAGACAAACATGCATTTATGCTTAACGCTGTTTATGCCAGTTCATTAAAACAATACTTAAATCATTTACAACCCCATGTCTCCCTTCTATGAGGAATAGGTTGGACTTTGACACTTGGATTGTCAAACCAGTGGTAAAGACCATGCCAAGGCAACAGTCAGATGGTAATATTGGTATGTTTAATATAAAGATCAAAGACAAGATATGCACCACTCAGTAAGTCTCTTAGTCATTTAGTATCTCACATCTCATCTTTACATCATAACTTACATTAACCTCACATCTCACTTTTACAAGATAAACTTACTTAACATCTCACATCTACAACAGAACTAAAAACTTACCTCACACCCTACCGTAACTCCAACTTAACTCACATCTTGCCATTTATAACATTTATAATTCAAACTCACCTCACATCTTACCATTTTAACATAACTCAAACTTAACTCACATCTTGCCATTTAAACATAATTCAAACTCACCTCACATCTTATCATTTAAACATAATTCAAACTCACCTCACATCTTATCATTTAAACATAATTCAAACTCACCTCACATCTTACCATTTTAACATAACTCAAACTAACCTCACATCTCACCTTTACAACATAACTTACACTTATCTCACATCTCACTATTACAAGATAATCTTACTTCACATCTCATATCTACAACATAACTCAAAGTCACCTCATATCTTACCGTTTTAACATAATTCAAACTCACCTTACATCTTGCCATTTTAACATAACTCAAACTTACCTCACATCTTGCCATTTAAACATAACTCAAACTTTCCTCGCATCTAAACTTTAAAACATTACTCAAACTTAGCTCACATCTTGCCACTTTAACATAACTCAAACTTACCTCACAACTCAACTTTAAAACATAAATCACAATATCAGCTCATAACACTATGTAATTGAACTCACAAACCATCTTTTCAACACAACCACAATTCACGTCTATGCTAAATATTCAACACAGAATAACTTTTCGTCTCACCCTTTAGCAAATTGTATTAATAACCTCATAGATAATCTTTACCTCATTAGTCGAAGCTCCTCTAACAGTGGGCAACTCATTATTAGATACTTTATCCCATGATTTGTTACGAATCGGGAATCCGTTAGATTCAGAATCCTGACACGACAATCACTAAAATGTAATATCCGTTTAAAGTCAAAATCAGACAGACGATGTTGATTAACTAGAGAAATTCTCCGCCAAACATCTGGGTCCCTGCATACATTATACCAGTACTTACACACACAACTTACTCGACGCAAAAGTTGAAAAGCTGTCAAATTTTTCAGTATGTGCACTAAGACAGTTATTGGTAACCTGTTGATATTTCCTTGATTCACTATTACCTGAGTTTCATGAAAATCTAATTTAAATCTCCCATTTATCAATGTAGATTTTTCCTGATCATCATCAGTTAAAACTTCTAAGTCAGCACTTTTACAGAAATCTTTAGTCGATACTTCAGTAAATGCATTGGTAGATTCCACATTCCTGTTTGTTTTATAACTCATAGATTGTCCAGCAAGCGAATGCCTAGCAGCAGAACATTTAGCACTCTCATCAGTTTTATTTTCAGAAACATTGTTTAATGTATCATCAGCCCTTACAGCTTTTCCTAAATCACTAGACTCTGGTTTTAAACTTGTAAGATCATTTATGTTTTCTACATCTCCAGCTTTAACCAAAGGTTTATTACTTTCATCACAGCCTCCTATTTGAGTTAACAAATTTCCAAACCCTTGGAATTTGCATGGGTCTCTTGTGCTTTCTGTATTTTCTTTAATATTAGGTCCAAGAACTTCATCTAAGTCATGAGTGTGAGTACTAACTTTACCTTCTATCCTGAGAGCACTGTCCCCACTTCCATCATCTTTTACCTGGATCTTATTAAGACTGACCATTCTTGAACCCTCTATACATTCACCTTTAATTGATGCTTTATAACTTTCTGCATGAACTGTATCACTATCTTGTTTCCCATAATTCCTTAAACTTCCTGTTGTTCCAGAACCACTCATTATATTTCCCATTACTGAGTTTGAAAACATTTCCACAAAACATGACTCATTGAATCCATCTGCTTGTAGACCTTTGTCATGTCTTAACCTACATGAACCTACAGTTTCTGCTTCTATATCAACATTCCCAACACTGTTTGATGTGTCTTGACAAGTTTCAATACTTCTTACATCAGAGTTCTCCAAATTATTCATCCCTACTTTATTGGCAAATATTGCATTATCACCAAACTCTGGTTTCTTCTGGACGTCTTCATTTTTCTTATCTTCAATGATGTTACCTGCTTTGCTGTCAACAGAAATTTTTTTGAATGTCAATTGATGACTAGGTGAAAGTTTATTGTGTTTATTATAATTTTCAGCATCTATTTTACTCAATTCTTCTTTTATGATGTCGGAACTTGGCAATGTATCTATCTTTTTCTTTACTAAGTTGGTATTAACTCTATCCATTGGTCTTTTAAGTTTAGGACTTTCCAACTTTTGCAGCAGATCCCTGTGGACCTTGGATGCATATCTCTCACGATTACTCATATACGAGTTCTCAGCTATAGCTTGCACATTTTGTACGTATTCACAGAAACCAGAATGTGATTTCACATTTTGTGTGATTTTCAAGGGCTGGTTTAAATTTAAGGAACAATTTTTCACATCTGCCATATTTTCATTACCCTCCTGAGAACCAGTCTTTTTAATATTAGCCTGCTTTTGCAATGACATTGCACTATTCTCTTCACTACTCGACTGTACATCAAAATCATTTTGTGTAGACTGGCTCCCTTCTCCAACACAATCAGATTTACTTTTAAAGTCTCCTGTACCTCCTACAGATGGATGCCATTGAATTGTCTCCCTTTCTTCAACAGAGTCGCCCTTTTCATTGACAGTTGTGTCCCTTGATGTACAATAATCAAACTCATGACTACCAGTGGCATGTTTCAGATGCATACCAGTTTCTACAATTATATATAATATTATTTCCAAATTAAAAAGAGAGAAAAATTTTAGACTTACTACATAATGTATGACATATGAGCCACGTCATGACAACAGCAACATAATGGGTTTGCGACCAGCATGGATCCAGACCAGTCTGTGCATCCACGCAGTCTGATCAGGATCCATGCTGTTCGCTATCAGTTTCTCTACTTGCTATAGGGTTTGTAATGTTGGTTTTGTCATGACGCGGCTCATATAATTTCAGTCAATGAAATTTGGGTCAGAAAACTACAAGTCATTCTAGCTAGTGGTGGGTGATATCTAGAAGCCAAAAATTTTTACCATCGCATTCATCCAAAAACTGTTTAAATTTTCATTAACTGGAAAGTAAGGTAAAAGATATTAAATAATACCATTATTTTGTAATCTTATTTCCTGGATTGAGGATATATGAGTTTTTCAACTAGAAACTCTCTCATTTCTTTTTTAGAAAATAAGGTGAGAGGTTGCTTATTTTCAAAGACCGGAGAAGTTATTGCCTCAGAAAATTTTTACAAGCCCAACCTTGGGCTAGCAGGCCATTGCTAAATTGACAGACAATATAGCTTGACATAAAATCAGTGTGCCTATACCACATGACTTTGAGGTCATTTTTTTTTGTACAACGGCAAGCTGAACAAGAGCTGTCGGTAGGACAGCACGATCGACTATTCTTAGTGCTTGATAGTAAAAGAGCCTTGATTATATAAAATTTTCTAAGTAAACAAAAACAAAAGGGCCAAATTTTTCTTTAAATCCATGTTACAAGTTTCAAAGCCATATGTCAATGGACTTTGTATATGTTTGAGGTGTTAATAAACTTGAACATAAATTCTAAGTTGAAAAAGGGACATAATTCTGTCAAAATGCTTAATAGAGTTACCTTCTCCTGTCTACATGTTGGGGTCATGATGGTGAACAAGTGTGCAAAGTTTCAAAGCCATATGTCAATGGACTTCGAAAATATTTGAGGTGTTACAAAAACTTAAACATAAAGTTAAACATAAATTCTAAGTAAAAAAAAGGTGCCGTATTTTACCAAAATGCTTGATAATGTTACCTTCTTCTGTCTATAGGTTGGGGTCATGATGGTGAACAAGTGTGCAAAGTTTCAAAGCCATTTGTAAATGGACTTTGAAAATATTGAGGTATTACAAAAACTTTAACATAAGTGGTTGACGCCCAGGTGACTAGGATAGCTCTACTAATTGTTATCGAAGTCTTGCTAAAAAGTAAATACAACACCCAATACAAATCTTGAAAGGCACATAAGTTCCTTATTTATTTATCAAATACAACCAAATAAAGTGGAGGCTAAAGGAAAAGTTGTATATCATAAGTGTATGGAAATGATTTCTATGATACATGGAAAGTTTCGGCTAAAACCGGAAAAACTATATTTTTCTCCTAATGTTTGTATGGTAAGAAAATCACTTGCACAGTAGTATATGTACAGTGTAGAGTAAAACCACTCTCAGTAAGCTTCCTCAAATATTCCTCAATGGAGTAGAGAATCGGAACAAAAGTCAAATTCAATGTCACTCCGCCATGAAAGCCATGAAATAAAGTTATCATCTATTACATTAAGTATGGGTAAGAGTTCGTATTAAGACGACCGTAGGTAGTCTTATCGAACTCTTACCCATATAACTGCAAATCGGCTCTTACAACTCGATATCAGATAAAAATATAGAAAGTGTCACCTCTTTAATTAAGCATAACATTATTTTTCCCCAGCAGTCACGTACAAACAAGGATGGGGTCCAATTACTTAATCTTGCATGTAAAACAATGAGTTTTCAGCAATACCTAGGATTGTTAATGCAATTCATTCCTGTCATATGAAACAAAATAATGTTTTGCTTACTTTTTCTAGAAAATATAAAACAGTCAGCAATTAATAATTGACATTTTTCATAGAGTTTAAAGGATATCAAAAAGTTACTGTGTTCACATTTGTCTCTGCGAGCTGAGCTCCACGTGCATTATCTATGTAATAAATTTGAATGTATCCTCACATTGCTACAGTGTTATCAGCCTTTTTAGAAACACCTGACCTGGCTAATTAAAATATGCCAATCACAATTTTCACTATCAGCATTGGTTTCTTTATGAAATAGCGGCTATACTAATTACTGCCGAGTAAGAGCCGATTTGCAGTTATTATTATATATTGTTTATTCCAGAATTCAAAAAGAATTCAAAACAAGTTAATTATGTATACCCAACCTTGATCAATATCATCGCCTTCAGAAACTCTCTGTCGTTTACAAGGGCAGTCATTTCCTAGCTGATCCATTGTTTTTAAAATACCAATGCTTGTTTTCCTACTGGCATGAAACCATCCCTTGTTGATCCATGTTTGTTTTCTATTTCCTGGTTCCTCCACTGTACGTATCTACACCTATGTATGCTTTCCACTCTGTACAAAATTTTTCTTCATTTCATCATTTGTGTTTTTCTTCATCAATGAGTTTAGAAATGCAGTAACAACTTTCCAAGGATAGATCTAAACAAAAGAATATCAACTTTAACAATAACCAAAATATACTTTAAAACACATACCAGCATTTTATCTGAAATGTAACAGAATATATTTAAAGTATAAAGCAAGTTAGCATTTCTACCTATTTTACCTATTTTAAATTAGACTAAATGATTATTTGATTCAGCCAAACCTATACTAACAGTTACCTCTGTTCAGTAATCACCTCGCCTAAAGGTGTATCTGCAGATAAATAGGTAATATCTATCTGTATGTTTACAGTTTCCATCTCTATCAATTCCAAAATTGTTGTCTCAAGTAAACATTATATACCGGTAATTAATAAATGGGTTTGAGAGTAACAGCAAAATTATCATCCTGAGGAAAATACTGCTACCCCGAGGGCCAAGGGTAACAGTATTTTTAGGGGGGATGATTTTTACTGTTGCTCACAAACCTATGTGTTATTTATTTTATTAATCTGAAGAAAAAAATACTTCATGGGACACTGTTTCCATATGATTCTTTTTTGGAGACTTTTAATACAAAAACAGTACTGTAAAAATTTTTTAATCACATGGTACACTAACTTGATTGAACAGTAAGAATAACTGTTATTGGCCTATGGGAAATTAACATTAAAGAAATAGTGAGGGGTAAGAAAATAAACTTTAACTAAAAAGTTATTTTTCATTTGTTTTAGTGCAAATATTATCAAACCTTTGAGAAAGCAATTGTTATCTTAAGTTGTTCCTAAATTTGTGTTGAACTGATTTATAGTAGCATATTATAATTTTTTTACAGCCATATTTTCAAACTGGCTGTTTTGCACTATTTTGTCTGACCAGTCAGAAATATGAGATTTTATTCCGTGTGACCATTTATTGTTCGACAAAGGGCACAATTTTTGGTGGACATTCCCTATGGCATTGTATATAGCGTTCATGTCATGTCATAGTATCCTGGTGATATTATAGAAATACAAATGATGTTATCTTTAGACGGAAATTTCAGTTAGCACACAAAATAATACAAACATTCTATATTAAGTGTTTCATCTTATATACTGTATACAGTGTTCAATCTAGAACAAATTCCCAGGAGGCCCTTTGGGCCCATAAACTTTTCAAAAGGGGGTCATTTGAGAAAAAAGGGGGCCCACACTTAAAAGAACATCAAAGTCAAATAAGGTATTGTATCTTTTAAGTTACTTGTTCACGTACCATATATAGACCAAAAACGGTTGCAAAATTCCAAAACAATCGACTCACTAAAAAATGACATTATTTGAACCTTTTTTGAGAGTTCTGTTAGCGTTGATACAGGCGCAATTTTAAGAACTGATTGGTAAAGAAACGATGACATAATGTTCAAAGAAACATATGAATCGTATTTTAATGTTACCAGGGATATTTGATAATAATGTTCAGTTTTTTAATCAGCGCCCGATATATAAAAGAAAATCATATTTTGCAATTAGGTTTGTTGATGAAGAATATAAACTTACAATAGTCGCTAAAAACATTTACCCTTCTCAATATATATCCAAGTGAAAAACAAAGTGTCAACTGAACAGGTGCTAAGACAATGTATATTGACATACCGGTACCTTTGATCTTTTGTCAGGGCAGCAGTTCTTACGTCACGCTTAAGATGTCTGCACTGATTAATGATATGCACAATGTTTTAGCGCCGACCAGCCAAAGACCAATCAAAGTTTATTTACTCAATTGTCAAACACTCCCTTGCCAATCGTGTTTGATTAGCTCCATCTTTAAGACTTTTTTAATTGGATGAAGGCGTGTTCGTAATAATTTATGCACACTTCTCTATAATTAACTTGCACTGTTTTCACTAATATATAGTTTTTTTTCTTCCGGAAAGTTATGACATATTTATTTGTTTTGACCGTGAAAAAACTATAACTACACGTACGTATTGGATTATCTGTGACGATTTGTTTATAAAAACTGTGACTCAAAAGTAAGTAATAGTTACGGTACATTTAAGAACAATTCTACATACATGTAGTATTTACAGACCCCTGCAGAGAGAGCGTAGCGATCAAGGTTTTAAAAAGGTTACCGAGTGCGGTAACTATCTTACCAACATGCTCTTGTTTTTCTATACAAACTTCAGTTTTGAATTCAGTATTTATTAATATTATTCACAAGAAACTTTATTATGTACTTAATCAGGTTTAAGAAAGCATTCTAATGTCATTTAGGGCATTTTCTATGAGTGCGCCCATCGGGCCCACAGTTGAATTTGTTTTGCGCCGGCGGTCTTTTCAGGGGGTCAATGGCGCAATGGCGCGCTCTAGATTGAACACTGTGTATATATAAACAGAGCTGAGCACCTTAACTTAAAAGCTGTCAGGTTACAGCTCAATAGCAAGAGCCTTGGACTGTGAATACAGTGACCCGGGTTCGATTATCAGATGGTGCACATCATTTTTGTTGCGAATGGTCATGAAATCCTTTCTACAGTCCTTCGCACAGTACCTCTGCTCTGTCATGTACAGAAGTTATCAGTTCCTTGCGAAAGAGAAGGCAACTAGTACTTGTAAAATGTTTGACAGCCTGCCTAGGAACTATGCGGTGGCTGAGCTGTGCTTTTGTAAATTTACTGCCGTGCTCTGGAGTGAAAACTACCACTACTATGAAAACTCTCGCACAGACACACACCTGCACATCATACTTTAAAGAGGGTGTTGCAGTACTGTATAAATATATAGATAGAAACTTAGAAAGATAACCACCTAAGCCAAGGCAATTATCGTATAAGTACCTAATCTCACACCCAACCTATTCTCAAACCTTTCATTCATGTGCTGTTATTTTTTTAATATAAGTGACTATGATGTCCTGAACTTGTGTGCATAATAGCTTTGTTTCTGACAGACATGTCTGCTGATGTCAAATAAAAACAGTGCATAGGAACAAATATTTACATTACATATTTTATTTCTTAGGGTAATTTCATACACATTGCTATTACCTTTGTAAGTCCCATAAATACACCATTCACTATTTGTGAAATTGATATTAGAGACAAAAAATATCTTAAAGCAGGTACCTGCATCCTGTAGGGAACTTCATTGTCATGTGATAGTCATATAACAATCACTTCATTGGCTAAACTCAATAGTAGAATTTTAGAGATACTTGAAGGGGTTTGAGATTAGGTTCTTTATTTTAAGAGGCCATGTCAGTTTTAAAAGAGAGGGTTATGCTTTTCCAAGATGGAAATAGAGCTTTTTTAATTGTTGAATTTCAGTCAAATTTTACAGAAATGTTACATAAAGATTAAAATGTACAAATTTAAAGAATTTTTATAAAGATATATTCCTATTTATGCTAAAAGACCTCTTGAATGCTTAGAGGTTTGAGAACTGGTTAGTCCACGATAAATGTCACCTACAAAAACAACAACCTTGACAAGAATCAATATTGTCAATCAATGCTTATTGGTCAAACAATAGTATGTCTGACAACAAAAATAGTTTTGAATGAAATGACAACTTACATGGTAAAATCGTAACAACAAAATGACAAAATGACAAAGTTCTCAAATCTGTCAAAATTGTTTTCAGTCCATTTCACGTTTCCGTGTGTGTTTCGTCATCAAAATGTGTGTATCTAAATAGAAACTACCAAAAAGTAATTTAAATACACAGAAGAAATAAAAGTTCAAACTTCAAGATCAGTTAATTCAAAGTTGGAACAGTGATGTCCAATCTTTAAGCAAATGTTTAAACTAATGGTCACTATCTCTTTCATTGTTCACATTTTGTTAACAGTAGACGTAAATTTATTAAACCGTATATTATTGTAGGTATCCTAATGTATTGAAGTTTGAAGATCTTTATGAAAAGTAAAACAAGTCACATAAAAAACTTACTTTATTTTGTAAAGAAATAATTACCACATGCAAATAATAAGTATACTGTAATGTTGTATTGTTAGTCTCTTAGAAATTTTGTCTTTGAATTACTGTGTACAGTACAGTAAAAAACTGCTGGCCTTGTAAAATCTTTACGTTAGTTTACACGTTTTCTAGCTAGAACCATTTGGTTTCCTACATGTAATTATTGTAAAGATACATGTATATATAAGTTAACGTGCCTTTGAAATATCATTAATGATATCAACATCTCATCTAGCCTAATTAATTCGGCGTGAACGGTTTGACCCATTTTACAGACTTTTTTTACTGTCAAACCGGACAGCGCCCGTCCAAAATTATCTCGGTGTCTCTTTGACAAGTCTTATTAGTTGGACTACATTTCATCGTGATTAATGATAACAACAACAACAACAACAACAACAGCAACATTTAAATTAGTAAGTAATGATGATGCTGTTGTAAATAGTAAAAAAAATCGTGCCAGTAATAATGTAAGTAATAAGTGTATTTGGTAAAAAAAGAAAAATAACATAATTTTTTGAACCTCATTCGTGGTTATTTATTTATCGATATATCAATAAAAGAATCCGTGGTGAAAATGACCTTATGTAAGTAATAGAAAGAGCATCGAAACACGAGGCTATCTAATTTGTACTTGGGGGCGTAGCCCCCGAGTATTAATCAGATTGCCGAGTGTTTGATGTTCCTTCTTTTTTGTAACATAAAAACACGTTCCCTGTTGTCGCAATATGAAACCCCGGAAAAAAGTAAACAATAAATGAGCATCTGAATATGATATTTCTGTCGCTTTGTCTTTCTCTGCCGAAACAATAAGTAAACCTCAGTAAAAATGAACCAATCAATGGACATGCTCTGGAGTGCGGGCAACTAATACCTCCAGTTAACGCACTGTGCATGTATATCTATACGATTTAACTCGGACACATTTTCAACAGAAAGGTCCCAAAACTATGATACAATCTCTTATTAACGTTCTCAATTTCATCACATTTAGAAAAACAGTATTAATTGTGGCGTGCAAAATAGTGCAATGATACCCTTAGAGATATCATGTAGCTCTATTAAAGCATGGGATATAGAAATATCTTGTAACGCTTATATTGCACTGTTGGGGACTTTCATATTATTTTTGAAAAGATCACATATTAAAACACACAAAATAACGCTCTGGCGTTTTAGGTAGGAATACTTTTCGTTAGTAGCAATACTTTTCGTTTCCAAAATATGTGGAATTAATGGACACGTTTACAGCTTCACGCAAGGTCAGTCAAGGAACTTCAATGAGAAACAAGGGAGAATTCAGTGTTTATTTTTAGGAATGATACGTTTGTTTGATTGATGACACTTTACTGGTGCATTCATTTAACTGCATTCATTTAACCACGACAGTCAACATCCATTATATTATGTCATGAACCATGACTTTTAAACCTTAATCTAAATATGGTACCAAATGTTTACCATTATGAGACAGTTTGTCTCACGCGAAATGCAGGTCTGGCCAAGGTAAAGGTAAAATAAGCTGTGGGTGAACATAGGTAAGTAAAGTCAATTTATTCAAATGTAAATGACAAATTCATTCCTTTTAAATAAGGTCAAGGCAGATACATGTGTAGCAATGGCAGAAATACCTTTTCAACGTTAGTGCGGGAAGTAGCCCAACAAATTGTGCGCTTTAGGGCTTTTTTTACATAGACGATGGCCGCCCTTCTGTAAAGACAGACATCTATGAAATATCAGATTATAAAATCGGTCTGTCTTGCCGTCGAAATATTGAGACTAGTGCGGGAAGCTGACATTTGGGCTAAGCGAAACAAGTGCCAGTTCATACACTTGGCACAAACTATAATTTTAGTGACGTGATTAACATAGTTATGGAAGCAATTGCATTTAAATGATTGAACATAGATACATTGGCGTGAAAAAAGAGGGCCCTATCTATTTTTTCAACTCCGAAGGCGGAATATACAAATTCGAAGCTCTTAAACTTTAATGACATAACAACGGGGAAAATGAAAAGGCTACATCATGCTCTGTTTGATTGAGCCTGACCAGTGAGACAGCAGTGGTCCAGTGTCTATTCTAGGATTTGAAATAAAGCGGGGGGGGGGTTATCGATAAGTGAGAATTTATTACATTTGTTGATTTTTTTCCCTTCTTTCTCTATGTAAAATTTCCCCCCTGCCTCTGGAAAAATTAGGGGGAATTCTCAAAAATATGGATGAATCAACCCCATCCCCCCTCCTAGAATAGGCACTGGTGGTCAGTGCATGCAACCGTCCACTTCCCCTAGCACCGCCTTAAGGGGAATATAAATCATGAATATGAAAACACCGTGTACTTTCAACCATCGGCAGGTCTGTTCGTGCTGTGGAGATCCTGGAACTTTCCATTTATTGTATTTATAGTAATATTATTTAGTATATTAAAGTGATTCTGACCCGTACTCGGCTGACATACATGTCATATTTGTCTATGTTCACGTACCGAATCGTTGTGCCACTTTTTTTGTCTACCTCGGAGTTTTAGCACGAATGCGCGCGTTTGCTGATATATATTTCATGAACAGGAAGGGCTAGAGACTTAATGTCGGCCTCATTTGGAAGCTTAATGCAAACGTGAAATAGTGATAAAAGTTTTTTTTTAATTATCTGGACAATTGTCCCGGGAAATGATCCACTTGCTCGTAGACTCGAATCTGGAGTTTCCGCCCTTCTTTTAACTTATAGTATATCTTAAAGGGGGCTCATATTTCATTTTTTTATGATTTTTGACACATTTAAGATGAACACAAAGGTTCTTTTATCAAAGAAAAGTGACATGTGGTTACCAACTAGAAGAATGAGACAAAAAGATTAAATTCCGTAATTATCTTAAAGATGACTGAACTGTTTTCATATAGGAACAATTGCCAGATTCTTGCTAGAAAAAAATAAGACTAGTCTAAATTTGACCACTATAACACAAATTCAGCTCATTGTTGTTACATTTCATGCTTACAAGTCGAAGAGTGTTAAATTTGTCGTGTAACGACCGTATTCTAGCGGCTATTCAGCGTTGATTGGGCCAAGGATTCACGTCTCCTTTGAATAGAATTCCTAGAACTGTTTGCGATGTGCTAGGTGGGGTTGTTGTGACTGCAATGTGAACGTTGTTCCCTATTGTTAACATGTACTTTTGTAATTTTGATGACAGAAAATAAAAAGCTCCGCTTTAATTGATAATGTTGCAATTTCATTAATGGTAAGTGTAGATTGTTGGTATATGTATAAACATGGCCACATTAATATACCAATTATAATGCCACTAGTAGAGGGAGGCAAGCTTGTCCTGACAAACAGCTTGGTCAATGCGTCCAGTAGAGTGAGTCAAGGCTGCCCCGATAAACAGTCCAGTTTATGGCTTCACTCCAGTGCAGTGAGACAACTGTGCACCGATAAACATACTGACCAATGCCTTCAGTAGAGTGAAACAAGGCTGCCCCGATAAACAGTCTAGTTTATGGCTTCAGTCCAGTGCAGTGAGACAACCGTGCACCGATAAACATACTGGCTAATGCCTCCAGTAGATTGTCATAAGCTTGTATCGACAAACACACTGCTGCAAACTGTACAATTTAGCATGTTTTTGTCATAACCTCTTATATTTACAGCTGACAGTTACAAATTCACAGCGATTTGAGCAAATTTGAACTTGGCATGGTAAGAGTAAATGCTGAAAAGGAGCGGAATAAATTAAATAATAAACAAAGTGTAGCTAATATATTTTATTCCATTACTCTACGAGTAACCTGTACAGAAAAAAATATTGTTAATAATGGAATTCAAGATCCGTGATAATTTTCTTTTCAAAAGCATTAAATCTGTCTACAGAAACAATGTGAATACAGAAAATATGAGATTCAATTTTGAGACAATTACCTCCCTTGAAATTGTATGAATATACAATTAACCTCATTTATAAAGAACAAAAAATCATTCAAATCTGTATGTGTATATAAAATCATATTAACTTTCATTAAAAGAAAGATACAAGTTCGGCTTTTAACAAATGTAGATTTTACTTTAATGTATAAAAGAACGATAATCTATACCACTGAAATAGACAGGAAAAAAACATTTTTTAAAAAAAATTTTAAGTATTAATTACGAATTGAAATAAAAATTGATTTTATGATGGGATATTCTGCTTGTAAAAAACAGAGATGATGAGATGTAAAAAATGAAATTGCACAATTTAGGATGTAAGTAATTGGTAAAGTAAAACAAAAAATCCTAAGAACAAATTATCCACATGTAGAACACAAATATTTCTGCGAGTGTTAAACTGCCAGAAATATGCCGATGTGAGTCATATTTAGACAAATAAATCATTTGTCAACAATCATTAAAACATATGGTGACTTACTAATTTTGGACATATCCTGAAAATTCTAGATTGCTTTTTATACTTAAGAAAAGAAATAAGCCAATTAGGGGCTTGCACACAATAATTAGTTGTCTACATACTATTAGGTATACAAGTGTAAACAAGTGACATTTTCTTCCTTATATCCTAGCAGAATAGTACTTCTTATGATATATTTATCTTCAATTAAAAACAAGTAGTCTACATGTGAATAACATATTCCATTTATGGTAAAAAATAATGATTTTGATTTCAGAGTAAATCGCCGTTAAAAATGAAAAACACTAATTTACAAATAACCGAAGAAGATAAAAAAACAAAACAAAACGGTAACAAATTTGACTGAGAATACTTCATAAAGACTAGTTTTCCCCTTCTGTGTGGTTTCCTAGAAACTGATCCTAGATATCTAAAGTTAATTGTCTCAATAAAAAGAGTATCAAATGAAAATTACCATGCTATTCTATAGTTCACTTCCGCTTGTTTCCGGAAGTCATCAATTTTGTTGTTTCCGGAAGTGAAAGAAGAGGAAACTATGGTGGAGAGTATAAGCTATCCGTGAGTCGTTTCATTACGACCCTAGAACTTTGAGATAAAGTACGATCAGCTTTTAGAAAACACATTTGTGTATTGCACGTATATTTTTGCATTTCTAGCAATCGTCATGTACCGAGATTTGAAATATGAAATTATTTCTTTAAGCTGAAAAACTATTCACAACTTTGAAATAAAAATAAGTCTAATATGACAAATCACTGTACATGAGGATTTCTAGAAATGTTCAATGAACACAACGACTATAAAGATTGACTGGAAACAAAATTCTCATCCGCCATCAAATTAAATATATCTTTAATATTGAGCTATAGTTTTTAGTAAAAAAGGAATTAAAAATCATTTTGACTATTTTTCGGATACGTGCGAGTACGCTCCTTGTACTATACTCTCCCATGCATATATCAACACTTGTAATTTTTAGATATTTATAGATATGTTCAGATCTGGTTACTTACAACAACGAGTAGACGTCACGTCACAAAGAAAGACGGGTACAGAATGAGAATTTTGTTACCAGACATTAAAGGCAATCTCTATTAGGTACCGTAACAAGCTAAGACAAAATATCTGAGGTGCTAAAATATAATGATGAATGAATCTAACGCTAAAATCTATGTTAATATTTACAAAATGGTGGTGCCTGGCGACAACCAATGAAATGTCAGATAACATATCTTAAAGAGTCACGTGATATGATTCAAAAATAACAAAGGTGCAGGATTGCTCACAACTCAGTATAATTGTTATTTGTTGTCAACTTTAAAAGTTGTGACATTCGCACACGTGATTCTTAAGAAAAGAAATCTGAAATATCTAATACATTATATATACATAAAGAGTCATGTGACAGCTCTCTAAAATTAAAAACAAATTAATATAAATATAAGTGAATTAATTAATGAATTAAATAATTTAATAAAAGTTTAGAAAATATTTACATCATAAGCTATTTAAAACGAGAATATTATTAACAAATTCAACCAGTTCTGAGATAGATATTGTTAACAAGTTTAACAAAGTCGTATAAATAGATAGACAACATAAACTAACTTGAGTTTTGCATTTAATTGCTGATTAAACCTTGTCTTGTAAATTATTGACAGTTTCTGATTCAACGCTATCCCCCTTTTGTGCAAATATAGTCTTTTTTCAAAATATTTTGATTAATTTACAATATTTTCTACATTGACGCACAAGGAATACCGAATATATATGTAGTGGACAAACGGTTTCCAGTATTAATGTACAAGAATGGATAATCATCAAAAAGTACTACTATTTATAGGTGAGGATGTTATTTCCATGCTCTAATTTGAACAAAAAAAGATATGATATTTATTTTTGTTCGTATCTAAACACATTTGGCCTTCAGACTATTGCTAACGTCAGGGGATCAATACATTGGGGGCATACAAAAACAGAGCTATAAAATTGATATTTTGTTTAACTGATATGTAACCATAGCTTAACTCATTCAAATAACAAATTAAATTCTAAAACTCTTCAAAGAAAGCTATTTTAAATTGGTAATAAATTTTAAAGTGAAATTCTAACTAATTAAATGTCTAGCTAATTCTATAATCTAAAGCATGATTGTTATAAGTAAATGATTTGTTCATGATATAATATATGTACAAGAAAAAAATCCTCTTGGCAACAAATATATGATCAATGTTAATGATCTACATGTAAGGAATGGTCCATATTTTTTCTAAGTCACAACTTAGATTTTAGTAAAATATAAACAGGCAAATATAGCTTAATCTGTCCGACTGTAAAAAAATCGTGGTTTGTTTGTTTACACGCAAGTAATTTGAATTTCATTTGATTTGCACTAAAATAAAACAAGTAAAGTGAACATGAATGTTCAAATTTCTTAATATCGTGTTCAGATTCGCCAAAATTGGACGATAACATGATTTTCCCTTGGATGTATCTGTGTGAATGTTGATTGGAAAATTTAAGCTATATTGCCTGTTTTATATAGACATTAACAAACATTTTATCCCAAAGCAATGAGATAGATAATGTTTGTTCATATAAGACACTGGTTTCCCTTCTGAAATGAAAGTTTTAAAGCAAAATTTACCACAAATCATCACCGGAAATGAAACCCAGAATTACGTCACGACAATGACAATGTGACAAGATATATCATCAAAATCTAAAAAATAGATGTTACTTTCTAAAAATAGCACATTTGAAAGTGTTACAGACTACATAATCTCTAAGTTTGAATCCTACTTAAAACCACGTGACATACATGTATATATCCATGCACAATATTTAGAATGTTTGTAAAGAGTATAAAAATTCTGAGTTATCAAAATATCATATAAAATTTACATCCAGATGAAAATTTACATCACGTGATACGAGACAACAGCTAGGAAATGTCGGAGCTCCTCGGTAATTTTCGACACTTTCACGTAAACACCCGAATCATTCCGACAGATAGAACAATGTGCTCGACATTTGAACACATTGTATGACAGTTGGTAAATTTTGGCATGTTATCATAAAATGCACCAATTATATTAGACATTGATATAAAATACTATATACTCAATGACTGTAAATGGAATGTAAATCGAAAATAAAACCACCAAACGATTAAAGGAAACCACTATCTTATACATAAATACATAACACATAAATACATAGTACAATAAAATCAAAAGTAGTGTTTAGAAAATAGCGCCCAAAAGATCATAATCTCCGAAACAAACGCATTTTGGGATGCAAGTTTATAATGTTAATAAAATCATTCTGTCGCGAAGTAACTTCAATTGTTCAACATACTTTTTCAAGAAATCTTCTTTCAAAAAGGAAAAATCTGATCATGTGTGTGTGTGTGTTTTTTTAATGAATAAGTTATCAAGTTCATTTGAATAAAACCTGCACCCCGATTTCAAACCCGTTCCAATCAGTCCGGATTTGTCCGGATTTTCAGCACTTACACGAAAACATATTGCACAAAGCTCCAAAACAATTTGTTACACAGTGAAAAACTATCTGATCCATCTCCCCATTAGGGCTTTAAATGGAAAACACAATTTAACACTGTGAGTATACATAATTGACATTTAAATATATGTACAGAATTTCGATTTATTCCTCTTGATTAATTGTCTAGGTGTATAAATTGCAATTTTAACTTAAACTCTTTTTTTATTGAGATATATTCAAGGGGAATAAATCGAAGATTATAATCGTCTGGTAAAATACAATAATTCTTAGCAACTTGTTAGGGATAAAAAAAGACGTCCAAAGTAAAAATATTTATGATTGGTTACTATATTTAACTTATTAAAAAATTAAGCCAATCAGATCAGACGATGCTTGAAAATAGAAATGGCCAATCGTGGCTTATTTTACAAAATGAATTGATTGCATTAACCAGAAAAATGTCTGTTATATCAGTTTAACTTGTTAAATAAGCAATATATCAATTGAAAAAGTAACATTTTAAAATTCATAAGAGATAATGTAATAAAAATGAAAAGAATATATTTACAAAATCAAGAAATAAAATTGTGAAGAAAAAAAATCTATGTACAATTCAAACTCGGCGGGTGGTCTCTACAAATTGTGACGTGTACAGTTGAGTCCCACTTTCCTTATGTTAAGTTTATAATTGTGTGAATGTGATCGTGATTGTTTTTTATTCCTCAGTACTCTTATGACGTCATCTTTGTTTTTACGTCACTCTTTATGCCACGGACTAGAAAAAACTCTTGCTGTTTCTACAACACCTGTAAATAAACGGAAAAGATAATAATTTATTTTATTTTGCAACTTTTAAGAATATACGAAATCAGGTTGTTGCTTTTTTTGTTTCCATTTTCTTTCTATGGTCAATGGCGTACAGCTAAAATATAATTTGTAATGACTTCGTCATGATTAGAGCTCATAAATGAACTATTAACTATTACTTTCTGTAATTTTATTTGTTTTCATTATTAAACGTAACATTGTACAGAAATATTACACAAAAATATTAAACATGTAAAATCCTTAACATATAAATAGCATGTGTTGAAGATCTGTGTACATGAATTGTGAGTAATCAGCCATAACATTAGTTACACGATCTGTCTATAAGTGCCTCAATATTCTCTTCACAACTTTGACTCCTGTATTTAATTATTACATAAAAATAATAAGTAGAGACGGACGTATAGACATACAAAAGCCAAAAAACGTGTTCAGAAAAATGTACAGCAAACGTTTGACCGCTAGATTCGTTTCGTTTATTTTTTCGTGTTTTGTGATCATTTCGTTTAATATATTCAAACCATTCAAAATGAGAAAATAACAAATCTAGCGGTCCAAACAAAATACGCTATAAACATTCTATAAAAGACAATATAACAAAAATATTCGACTGACACATTGGAGATTTTCTAAAGTCAATAATGTTGTTAGGCAAACATGCAAAAAGTACAAATACATTTACATTAAATTAGTAAATTGAATGTTTAAACAAAATCTAACATTACGTCAAGAAAGAATTATTCCAAGTAATGCATTTAAATGAATAGAACTTTGCGCGTACCGAAAATGTTGAAAATGTAGAAGTGTTTTCATTTCGTTAATTTGACGATTCTTTCGAATCTGAGTAGTGTTTTCATTTCGTTAATTTGGCGATTCTTTCGAAACTGAGTAGTAATTATCCAATCAGTACATGTATACAAGCTAGAAACGAGGCTTTCCCAATCTTGTAAATGCTCAATGTGGTATGGCACCGCAAACAATGCCAAAAAAGAAAACACATTTAAGTTAGGAATGAATTCTTTCTACGAGGAATAGTATATTTTGTGAGCTAAATCATTAAAATACAAAGTCCATGTGTTAATAAATCAAAGCTAAGGTGTCGACGTCTGATTTCAGTACTAAATATAGATATTACATATCACCATTGGCAACGTCTCAAAGTTAATTTCTGGTTAAGATTTCACTTCCGGTTCTTAAATACAAAATGTAGTAAATTTTTCATGATCTTTAATAATAAAAGAATATTAATGCGACTAGGCATACATTTGTACTTTTATTAAAACGAATTTTTCGAAGATCATTATTTTCTGAAATCAAGTAAATATATTTCTATTATACAGCGTAATCAGAAATGACAGCAAGACATTGCTTGGCAAACGTATAACATAAATCTTTGACCTTCACCTTCAGATAGGAATACAAAAATAAATATAATAAAAACAGACGTATTTGCCCAAAAGAGAAAGTGGACGCTTTAGTTAATATATGTTAACTTTTGAAAAGCGAAGGTCAATGACTTATTTAGAAAATTCAGACATATTATATGCAGGAAGATACATTTGCGCAGATCAAACTAAGGTTAAAAGGTCAAGGTCATTGTTAATCTAAAATTATCTCCTCTTCAATTCTGTCACAGAGAATTCTCTTCAGCTATAAAGGGGAGAAAATTTAGCTAAAATATTCAGAAAATTATAACAATATACCAGACGACAAAACTTCCAACCAGTTATCCAATCAAAATCAAAATGAATAGTCACGTGATACATTATTAGAAAAAACCATAAAGCAGCACCTGATCACCATGTTCACGTGAAAATAAATCTACACAATGTTACAATATTTTTGCCATTACGACTAAATAACAACACCTTCAAATCGTCCAATCACTTACATAATCGGATGACGTAATTTGGTTACCAAGGTAACGTACTGTTATAGCTCCTCTCTTTTGAAGAGAGTTTCTTTTTCCACTATAATAATATTGAAATTGCGTTAATGATTTAGCTTCACATAAGATTTGCTTTGTCATCATAACATAGAGAGTAACATGGGAACAATATCTATATATAAAATTACTGTTAATTTATTGTTGTTGTTGTTCTGTGGTTGTTATTGTTGTTTGCCGTTTAAGGATGCAACATTGTGATGCAAGAACTGTTTATTATTCTTACAAATATAGTGAGAGAAGTTTTAAGTAAACATATACATGGTTACTACAAATTTGGTTAAAACAGCCGTCTAATATATTTTTGTACTGTTTATAATCTGTCGTAAAACACTCTTTAAAGCTTATGTTTCTTTGCAGGTTTAAAATATACATTTAGACTAGTTTTTCATTACCTTGTCCATGTTTAATTAAATTTAAGAGTATATTAATTGGTCTAGACTGTACAACTTTTTTCTATTTCTAATAGGTTAAGGGCAAAGTCCACCTTACTCCTCCCCTACACACACCTTTTGAAACAGTTATAACTTAAAAAAGGAAAATCTTCGTGTTTTTTTTGTTTTGTTTTGTTTCAGCCTCGAAAAGATGGAAGTTAAAAAAAACATTATCTATTCAGTAAGTAATAACTCTTTGGATTCAATGTTAAAAAATAAAACACCTAAATCCGAATTTATGCTTTCGAATATTTCGGACACCAATTCCCATTTTAAATTATGATCATATCTATTAATACTATAAATAGTAAAGGAAACATGCGCTGCCTAGGCTCATCCCGGAAAACGTTTAAAACATTACTCATATTTAAAAAAAGAGTATAAAATCCTTTCCAAAATGCAAAACTAGCCAAATATTTAATAGAAAGAGGATAACAACCCCAAAGAAAAACAAGTACATACCGATAATCAAGGAATATGTTTTTAGTATGGCTTCGAAGCGTCTTTTGGTCGTTTGAGTTGGACCTTCAGTCTCTTCATTCCGATTTGAAACCCGTTCATAGCTTGGATCGCCGCCTGAGCGCAAGCTGGATTGTCGAAACTTACAAACCCTGTAATATATAGAATCAATAATTATTTTGTGTGTTTTTGTTCTTCTTTTTAAATATAAATGGTAGACAGTGTAGATACTCATGTCACAGGTGAATGGGATTTGGAGTTAATTGTTGATAAGTGTATTTCCATAGTTAAAAGTTGAAATTGTAAATACTAAGGTGCACGGTTTTCATATTTCAGCCATTTTATGAAAACTTTAATCATCGTCTGACAATAATTTATGTGTACTGTATATAAAACATATAAACTGTAGATACATTCAGAACATTATCTGTGAAGAGTGTGCTCTTCGTAAACATGTACTATAAAGTGAGACTATAAGAAACGAAGAGCTATAGTTATAAGCTTAACAAAGCTTAAGGGAGATAATCATTAGCTTACCAAAGCATTTGCTCTGATTGGTTGCCCTATCCACGTAGACTTTAGCACTAATAACATTTCCAAATGGCATAAACATTTGTGCTAGTTCCGCGTCGCCGAACTCTTGTGGCAGGTGATATATAAATAGATTGCAGCCATCGGGTCCTGTAGAAGTCAGCACTGCTAAAAGTTAGAGGTGTGTACTACATATTTTAATTTATCATACGGACACAATATAAACATATTCTTTACCATACCATTCCAGCCTTATTCTGATCATTGACAGTGTTATCAGAGTTCTTTCCCTTTGATAGGATTGTGTCCATTTGCAAAATTTTGAAAATAATATTGTAACATATATTGAGACACATAAATATTCACTGTTCAGTTTTTAACTATTTACAAATACTAAAATATATTGCTCATATTTTAATTGATGGATATACATTTATAGAATCTACATTTATTATAAATATATGCACAAATTTAGTAACTACCTTCTTTTTGAGCTGTCGGCATCAGTGCAGCGTTCTGTAACAGGGCTTGTTGAATCGGATTGAATGCGGTTGGGTAAGCAGCTACAAAGAACAAACAATAATTTCAATTTGCAAGCTTTACTTTTTTCTTCTCAAAAATTCTACAAATATTGCACTTAAATTATAAAATGTTATTTATAGAGTATATAATTAAAAACTACGTTGCTTCAAACATTTGAAAAGTTTAATCTACAGAAGACGGTTGGAAAGTAATTAATTATACAGAATTACTCACTGAGGTATTCCCCAATGCCATAAGGCGTCACTGCAGTATATATCTGTGATGGGTCCCCATTGGTGATAGTTTGTGCTAAAAATAGAAAGCAGAGCGTCAGTAAAGGAATTCTAAAATGTCTATAAGAGTTTCTACAACTGTTGCTTTTTTCACTATATTCAATTCATCACTACTGAATAACACTACAATATCACTTTAAAAAATAGTATTATTAATTCGTTGCTAACACTACAATATCACCTAGAAAGCTGTCTTTTTTAATTATTTATTTTTTTTTGAGAGAAAGGAAATGCAAGATTTCGCTTGACAAAATTAAACAAATCTAAAACAAATATTACCTGCATAAGCCGGAATTCCGTTAGCGTAAATCTCTTGTTGGCCATTTTGGGCAATTGGAAATCCGGCCACGGGTGTTGGTGAAAGCACGCTAGGGGGCGCTCCACTAATAGGTGTTGATGCTGTACCTATTTATAAAGAAGAAATGTTAATGCAATGTAAGTACGACGAATATTTTATGGTCGATTGAAGTTTTATCTTATATTGTTAGTTATAATAAAATTGAATTAGAAACTTATGATTTAGTTTTCCCATTAGAGATTGGATTTAACTCATTACAGTGTTGAAGCAGTATCTATAGACTTTTGCAGAAATCATGATTACAAAGAAGAAAAATATCGTTTTTTCGCCGATTCCAACATTTTTCATTCATTATCGTATATAAATCGGCATAAAGAGATGTATTAAACCTTTTAAAGTTCATTCAATGGGTGAAAAGGCGAGATTTTAGCGTTTTATAATTCAAGCGCATTGTCATTTAGTGTGGTGCTCGAGCCTTCAACATTTTTTTAGTCTTAGATATTATAACATAAAATTATTTTTTTACTCAAGGAATTATGAATAAAGAATTAAAGTGCAGTTTTTTATCAGTAAGGAAACATAGTTCGTGTGATTGAAGTATGTAATTAAATAAAACTCACTCTCACCGTTAGCGAGAGAGGCTGTTGTAGGGGTCATGGTTGCCGTGGAGATACCATTCGGTGCGGCAAGTGCTGTCACAGCCTGTGGAATTTGTGCCAGTGTGACGGGTGTCAAGTAATGACCTTGGCCTGCGGCAACTAAAGCTTGCTGCTGCATAATCTGCTAAAAAGAAAAAAAGAAACATTCAAATTTTAAACCATAAACAAATATAAAAAGTATGCATGATATATCTGTATTTGTGTAAATATTAAACAAATGGGATCATCGTTCAATGAACGAAACTCTCATTGTATCGTGTCACACAGGGCTCCTGTGAGGGTACTTGATAGGGCATCCGTAAGAGCGTAAAAACAGGAATGGGGCAATCAAAGGGAAGACAATTATATCTATATAAGCACATAGACAACAGAACTCTGCAAATCTATAATACTATTCACATTGAGAGTACATTAAAACTGTCTTAAGCAGCCAGCCAAGGGATGCAGTCATTTTGGCTGCTTAAGACGGGTGGCGTCTGAATTGAAGGATCAAGTTATTATTCAAATTATTCTTTATTTATTCATGAAAATCTATACTATGCTATCCTTATGTGCTTGTGTGTATACCAAATCTATTTTAATTGTAAACAGAGTAATCTGGTTCATCATCATCATCATCATCATCATTATCATCATCACCACCATCATCATCATTATCATCACCACCACCATCATCATCATCATCATCATCAGTTTTTAACTATTTACAAGCTACATTGTATACTCATCAATTTATAATGACAATGAAAAGAACTGCAGTAAATACAAACCGTGTCTGGGTACACTTGAAGATTTCTTGGCGGGTCGTATACACCGTATGCCCCGATCTGGGACAACGCTAACGGGTTAAGGAGCCCGACTGATTGCGCCATCTGCTGCATTCTACGGAGTTGTCGTTCTTTCTCGGTATCCGCAAACTTTACAACAAGACTGGATGAAGCACCCTGTAAATCAAACAAGTCGTAAAACTGAATTAAGCAAGTGTTGACTTTTTCTACAAAACAGTCAATTTCTATCTTTATAAAAAATGTTCTTTAGAAATTAAACATCAGCCTTCTCGAATAACTCAAACAAAACACGTTTTAATTATTCTAATTATTTTCGTTCAATATTGATCTTTATAATTATACTTACAGGCATTGTTTGACTTCCATGGAGATTGTTAATGGCGGCCTGGGCCTCAGAATGGTTGGAATATTTCACGAATGAACAGCCTGAAATAGAAACAAGTAATTTATATGTTCGTTTGAAAATAAGGTATCCTTTTGCAATCAACGATTAACATTCTTAAATACTTAATAATTTCATAATAATCATTCTGTGCGCACAAGCGAAAAACACGGCACACATAAATACTTCAAACTGTACGATACTTAAAAGCTATACAACAGTGGGCAAACTATAAAGGAATCCGGTTTATTATGATAAGCCTTCAAATAAATCGCTTGAAATTTCAAAAGGTCTATGAAGCTTAGATTCATTTATCAAACTCGGAAAGGTATTCTAACGAACATAATTTATTCTGTGTGTGATGAAATAATTACAATGGCTCTAAATTTAAATGAAACAATATCGGGCGAAAGGAATTCCTTTAAAGACCAAACGATTTATATTAACGGAAAAAGGGCAAACTCGCGGAAAGAAAATCAACATTTGTCATTTTTCGTGCATACAAATCAGCAATTTCGGTGCCAAACTGATTCCGTCATTTGCATATACCATCGGATTTAATGTCAGGATGCAATGAAGTTTATCAAACAGAATTTACAAAGAAAAGTCTTGGCCAATGGAAAGATATTGATTTTTCTGTCAGAATCGCGAATTATGCTGATCGTGATTCATTGCAGTTAGTATTTTATTCGAATCCGCTCATTCGTAGAAATACAATTTCTTCCTATATCTCTGCCAAGACTGTATTGATTCTCTCCGTTAATGGGCATAGCAAATTCCATGCATGTTTATTCCTACTATAACCGTATAATTAAGACGCAGGGTCCCTCTGTTATTTTTTATGTGCAAAGTTCAATATAACTACATTGTCTCAGACAAGAAGTAGAAAAATACTTCAGAAAAAAACAAGAACACAAACATCGCTTCCTTTTCTAGAATTAATTCATTTAGGGTAACAAGGTTAGGTTTATCTATCCGGCAATAAATAATCATAACCAAAATAACGGCGTTTCTTGGTAAATTTCGAAAATGGCTCTAAGTGACGCGCTAACTAAACCGTTTTGAAAATGTGACAAACTTCAAAAAGAAATTCTCTGTCAAAGAAGCATGTTTGCCAATGAACGAATTGTTTTACAGCATTACAAATCTCATTTGATTTATGATGTAGACAAGACACTGTTTGTGGTTGTTGTAAAATGTGTTATTCACAAAATCTATTAATAGACACCAGTCTTCAGAGGCCTTGTTATATCGAGGAATCTGGATTGTGCGCGATTGTAAAATTGCATGTTTCTATACCCTTTATGGTTATTTTGCGTGATTACTGACACTTTCCGCTAATTTGACAATCTTTCGCAATTTCTTGTATAATTTCAGTCGTGTACCGCCATAGACTAAATTGTTATTGCCAGAAACGAGAAAATCAATCTAGAAACTTGTTGCTACTTTCAATCGGATTAAGATTGCATGCGTTTACGCCATTCCTTCTATTTGAATTATCGATCCAACAGCAATGAGTATCTGAAAGAACTGACGAATTTTCCCTGTGTTTGATTTTGTTACAGAGCAAGAAAAAAGAAGGAATAATGTACAAGATAGAATTATATCTAAATAACGATAAATAATTCAAGTCGAGCTTGATTCCATGACATGCATGCTAATAGAACATGTTCTATATTGAACAGAACTATTGAACCCCTTTTCAAGATCAGTGTTCCGTACAGAAGTCATAAATGAGCGTCTATTGGTGTCTAATGGAATTTTCTAGTTCTGAGAATCGATATTTTACAAGCCTGGTAATGAATCACGCTAAAACTCTACAGTTATGTGCTAGCTCAAATTGTAAGGTCGCAAGCTCGATTAAATGCGTTCGATTCATGTTACAGATTTTTCATTTTAAATCTTACGAAGACGATGCGCATGCGTCATCTCTCTCGGTCGCCATGATTTAAGCACAGATCGTGCAGAATGACATATATAAGATAATAAAACTTCATTTCTCAACTGTTCTACGGAGACATACATAAGTTTTGACTTCACTTTTGCGGTTTCCATAACAAATCATTGGTGACAGGATAATAGCATTGCGTTATAGACAACGACGAGTATGCAACCAGCTCTTCTATTTTTAACTTACCCCAAGGACACACGAGTCACGTGACAAAGTATTAAATCAGACACTTTAAAAGTTGTAAGAAAGCTCTTATCCGGGGTCTGTTAACGTATCAACATTTACACTTACAGTCAATTCTTGAAAGCCCGTCAGGCAAACAAGAGCTAAAATGTAGAGTTTGATTTTCTAGGAAATGTTTGAGCGCAAACACGCCCTGTTTTGCAACTTAAGTTAAAACAGGCAAGGAGGTGGGAACGGAAGCTTTTACACATTTTACACTTCTTCATGCCAGGATTCGAAATTTGCATCCATTTTTTTTCCCTTTCAATTCTTCAAATAGCTACGTAGGTAATAAATCGTGAACCTGACAAAAATATCCTGCTGCTGATAAAATATATAATCTGATTACTCGTCGCACGTTTGTTCTTGTATTTCTTCAGTCATTAATCAAGCGCACCATTAAGCGCGTGTAGTTCATTACGGCAGCCATGTTTTCCGTTTCTATACATTTCGGACTAATTTAAATTACCTTGCATCTCCTCATAAGTTCGTCTGCTAATGAAGAACGCCGTTAAACATCAAAGAGAGTTTGTAATCAGGTAAGACATATTACTGACGAAAACGAGCTACGTTTCATTATCAACTTAGTTTTCACCGTAATGAAACTTCATAAATTGTATCGTGTTTCCATAAAAAATGAAACGACGAAAAAATAGTTCCTCTAAAAAAAGGTCAAAGTAAAGCGCGTATGTCTTTAATCGTAGTTCCTCAGGTATATTGTTGTTGTGTTTTTGTTTGTTTTTTGTTGGGTTCTTTTTGGTCAGATTATCTAATTATAGATTCAAAGTATGTCCAAGAAAACCCGGATATTCGAATAAAATTATATTTATAAAGGGTATACCTTTGCTGTTTCCATTTTGGTCCCTAAGAATGGTCAGTTCCTCAACTTGTCCGAAAGGTGTAAATAAATGTTTTATGTCATCTTCTGTCTGCTGTTTATTGAGCATGCCCACAAACAACTTCCTGTCTTCTATAAATAGAAAATATGGCTACCTTTAAAATTGAAATCATTTATATGCAAATAAAATAGTTCGGTTAAAGTGATCAAACATACATGAACTGAGTTTCAAATTCTCGTAGCTAGAATTAACATGGGATATGTTTTACAGTAAATTCAAATCGTTTCAAGGAAATATACACGTCCAGAGACCTCTGAAACATGTTAAGTGCATTTTTGTACACAATGAATTGTACTTATTTCTGAAAAGAATGGGTCATAATTAAAAAGATCATTTTAATGCCGAATGATGTGTAAATATAAATATAAACACATATGTATATTATCATGACAAATGCATGATCCAAATCGGTTACCAGATGCTTGCATTTGTGTCTCCAGACGCTCATAGAGCGGAAGTTAAAGAAGAACACGTGCCATTAACTGTTATTCATTGCGCTTTGATTTCTGTCAGAAACAAGGAAGCCAGGTCTGTTAATTAGAAGGAATCTGAATTATAGAGGGCACTTCAGAAGCAATCTGCTTGTCATTATGAAGTATATTTACTATAATATATAGGCATCTCTGCCGTTCTGCTAACACAACGGATAATCTTTTCTTTAAAATGCCATAAACAATGTATGGAATTCTCTTACAGGCCATGTTCATGGAAGAATCCCTTAATATGCACTTCAGAAAGGTCAATTTTGAAAGTCGTCTGCTTCTTGTAACATACGTACATCTTTTCAAAGAGATTGACAAAAACACTGGTAGCTTTCTGTCCGTTGCATTCATGAATAACTCGGGACTTTTTGTTATCATATAAGAATGTTATTTCGAGAAGATATCTCATTTTAAATTCTAACGTCGCCATAAGATGTCTATCCAAATATTGATCTATATTCAACCAAGAGTAAGACATCTAAAATATTCCGAAAAGGATCTCCTCTAAGATGATTATAAAATAATTCAAAACGAACCAGACTATTTTCGATTTTTATCTTTCCAATAGAATCAGTTCTTTACTGTGTATATAATTGAACAGAAAAGTTAGACAAAGTACATGCATTTTAGGCATGTCTAAAAAACGTCATTAAAGCTCACAACTTCACTTCCGGTGAACGACAGGTTGTCGCTTACGGCTTACTAAATTTAACACAGCAACGACTGGAATATTTGAAATCGAAAAGATTATTCATTTATATTTTAACCCCTTAAAGGCATATCATTGGAAGTACTTTCTGTAATTATTCCTCCTTTTGTCTCGAAAGAATTCGCGTCACTTCGTTAATTAAAAGAAAGATGGATAAGTGCCAACGCCACATATCAAAATCTCTTTCTAAAACTCTTCAAAGAGATTTCATTTATATCTTTTCGTTTTACAGAAATGTAGAATGAGACGTTATCTTTCCCGGGGACATATTTAGCGTTATTAAAGACAAAATCACCAGCTTTAGAAAATCAAGTCTTCAAATAAATGAGGAATGTATAAGATACTGTCGTCTGCAGAAATTAGCATCAGTTGGAATTGTTCAGAAATTCTAATCGATCGATATGGTAATGTATCGTTAAACAATCAAGTCTCCCCAGTTCTATTGTGACTAATCAAGTATAAATAAATCACCTGATGCCAATACAGCGAACACATCAATGATGAATATGCTTGATTTTTCACCTGTTTCAAACTCAGAACAAATTCTAATGAATGGTCATTACAAAAGCAACATAGAATTTTTATACTGAATAGCTATAAAAAATATACATGTATGTCACGGATTGTACATGATGTTCGTTAATTTCATGGCGTTCAAGTAAAGGACAATACGAAATATGTACATGAGTAACCTTTTCTGTGCCATTGGCGTTAAATTTTATCCATAAGTCTTCGCATTTATTAAATTTATTTCCTGAGAAAGAAAGAGAGAAAAAATAATTGAAAAAGTACGAATATTCTGTATGGGATTGAAGTTTCCCCCTGGAGCAAATACCGATCGATGTAAATAATGGCACACTTGTTGAAATCCTTTCATTTTAGCTTGTACTCCGAGGATTATTTTAGATTCCATTAAAGTGAGACTAACACCACATTTTCACCAACAAGAATCACAATTTCTGTGACATTATTCATTCTCTCGAGGGAGCCTGCACTCTTAAAACAAGAAGCAAAGCTTTTTCAATGAGAAGTTTATGTGTATTTTTAATCTTTCTTTAATGCTTCAGGAAAAAAAGAGATTAATGGGGGAAACTTTGATGATAATGAAAAACGCAAAGTGAACTAATTATAGATTAAAAGGAATTAGAGGCCAGTAAAACTTTTCGACGAGTGGATTCATTTGCATTGCCCAAAATTTTGAGAAAAACAGCTAAACTGGTTAACAATAAAGCCTGTTTTGGGTGACCTTTAACATTTGGTTCATGTTGTTAAGCTTATGCACGTGCCTAAAGGTCACATGGGGAGAGAAACCGCAAAACAAAGCGGCATTTAATTACAAGATATCAACAATTTTGTCTACAGAAGCGGCGATAGTTTATCTTAGCATAATTGATCTAGATAATTCCCTCAAACAAGATGGTGCCACTGTGTATACTAACTAATTGCAGTCATATTTACTACAGGAGATACGGCAACACTGGTTTTCTTTGATTAAATACTTTCTGTACAGTCAAACACTACACATATGAATATATATTTCGAAAAAAATCCACATTTTCTTTTAAACAATGAAAGTTGCATAATGAAAAGAGAAAAGAAAACAATTATTCAGTTTTCAAAATGTGCACGGGTTTCGCGTGTAAGCCTCACATCACCTGAACGTCATTAAAAGTTAAACATCAATAGCTTGATGCTTAATAGATATGACATTGCAAGTACCTGGTTTGGCACATATAGCGTGGAATAATTTCACTTGTTAAGATTTTTGGCAATCAGGTATAGAGACTTTAGCTTAAAGACTTCTCCAACTTTTGAAATATTTTCCAACAAAAACAAGACAAAAATGTATACTTTTGATATGTTTACAGTTACAATTGTTTAAGCAATAACCATAGTAACGAAATAATTCCTAAATAAAAATGTTACGTAAATTTTTAAAATCATTAGAATATTTTGAATACTAGCGTGTCTGTATCTTCTGTTCAAATAAAAACAACGACCGATTAATCTTATTAACTGAATTTTATGCACGTGGCGTTCTGAAAATCTGACCTACATCTGACAGCAACTGACAGTCGAGTCTCCATCCATCTGAAATAATTTCTACTGTAACACCGATCGATTTCTCGAGATCTTATAACAATATCAAGAATTTCATCAGGCGACATTCTTAAGCCTATACAGTCACGACATTTTCCAGAAATACCATTTTATTTCAATTACAACAAACCGTATAGGGTCACGTGACGTGTCAATAAGAACTTGGTAAGAAAGATATTCTCCAGATCGGTGACAAAAGAAGCATTTTAGCAAAATCTTGTTTGACATGTGAATTTCTTCATAATTTCGCAATATGAAGTGTTTTATAGAAGTATTTGGCAAGAACTATCCTAGTGCCTATCAAAAGGTGGCTGTTGCAAAATAAAATCATGAACGAAAATCTTGTGTTTAAACAACAACAAAAAATAAAGATATCATGTATAACGTTAGCCTATGAGTGTAAGAAATATAACAGGTGATAGAAAAAGTCACTTTATAATGAAAGATCAATGTTTTTTATTACGACTTGACAAATGTACATTGTATAATAAATATATCCTATCATCTGATTGTCTACTTGTAAAGATAAATTCTTACTTTGAAATAATATATCACGAACAAATCCGATTTTAAGAAGGGAAAAATCGTTAACGCCCTTTGAGGACGTCGCCATGGCATCAAAATCAAAGAGATGGTATCTGGAGACTACAGAAAACGGCAATGTCCTCACTTTATAGCGATCAATAGCATGCCTTTGTTGTTAGAAATTGATATCAAAATTAAGATTTTTATATACTTAATACTCAAATATATCAAAAAGATATTATGTTGTGATAGCTCAGAATTAGTTCGTCACAAATTGGAAAAAAAACTCACTTAAAAACTCTCTAGCGTCATTTTGTTTCTTTGTATTAAAAATAAATGTGTGTTTTACAAAGGCACCGCGTTATCATGATACTTCTTACATATAAAACAATAAGCAAAATATATCGGTTACAATGACCTTTGAATAGGCGTTATTTGTTTGTTAGTTGTGTTTGTTTTTTATCGATGTTCTTGAATCTTGTTTAAATAAATAGAATGGCGTATGAATTTTGATCTGTTTGAATGAACAGTATGATACGATGGCAGAAAAATCGAACTTCGTTTATAAATACGTTTGTTATTCTAGTCCTCTTGTAGACATACTGGTATGAAAGTATAAGATTTATCAATATCAATGCAAACAATCTATTGATTCTTTTAATGGCTTCGGTAAACAAGGCATTCCGAAAGTCTGCCATTTATTTATCACCTACATCCGGTTTATTTTTAGCGACAGTATATATTCTTGCGCAACACTGCGAACGTAAATAGTTCCCATTAATTGTGACCATTGACAGTTTAGATTGGTATTCTACTGAGATAAGTGGATGCTATTGTCATTATACCACGGTGTTACATGTGTTTACTTTTTCATTTTACTTTTAGAGAAACTGTTTCAATTTTCTTCATACATAGCAGTGGAATAATATGCAAGGGCCAAGTTCTCGAAACTTAATTAAGGGAAAACACGATTTTATTAAACGCAAAAGAGCATTCGAGAAACTAGAATCTACTTCGTTGTATATTTAAGAGGCATTCTTACATTGCACAGCGTTTTACGAGTATTTTTAAGTTTAAATGCATAAAGTTGGAACTATTTCTTTTAACTAAAGCACCGGAACTATTTTAATGGCCGTATATCAATGGTAACTGTGTCTCACACTTCAAAAATAAATGGTGCCATCCTACTTTTCTCTAGTGCCATTCAGTTAGAAATTAAAGAGCAGCAAATTCAATTATATAACAACAGAACATA